TAATAATAATAATAATAATAATAATAATTATAATATTATTCTTTACTTCTTTTTTTTCTTTTTCTGCACTTACTTCAAAAGGACACAGCGTGTGATGGGGTTATTTTTATTGTTAATTGGGCAAAGACTGAATTCTCCCTCTCTCCGTAAAACATACTCAAAACCCTTCTGCATATATTATTATTATTATTATTATTATTATTATTATTATTATTATTGCTATTCTATTATCATTATTATGGAACAAGGACTGAATTTGCTTTCTCTCCGCAATAAATACGATCAATCCTTCTTCGTATATATTATGCTATTTTATTATTATTGGACAAGGACCGAATTCTTTCCTCTGCCCACATTAAGTAATACAAATCATTCTGCATACTTATTATTGTTGCTATTTTATTATTATTGGATAAGGACTGGATTTTCCTTTGCATTACAGATACTAAAAATCTTTCTGCATACGTATAATGAATGCTATAATTATTATTGGACAGGGACTGGATTTTCACTCTTTCCCTAAAAATTACTAAAAATCCTTTTGCATCTATATAATTATTGCTACTGCATTATCATTATTATTGGACAAGGACTGGATTCTCTCTCTCTCTCTCTCTCCACAGTAAGTACTAAAACCATTCTGCCTATATTATTATTGTTGGTGTGAGCTCTTTAGGAAGTCCGTGGTCTTAAAATCTAATATACACGTCTCTACCCAACCAGAAAATTCTTAGGGTACTTTTTCTGCACTACTTAGTTTTAAAAGGGAATACCGTCATATAGTCTTATTTTATGATGATAACACAAGGGCTGGTTTTTCCTCCCCTTCTCCCGCGGTCCATAAACACGGATAATCATTCTGCATATTCCATTATTATTATTATTCCTATTTACTTCTAATTCTTTTTCCTCCCTGTGCAGCTTGCCTTGAAAGAGGTACTGGGATCGTGACTATATTATTGCAGTTGTTGTTAGTATTGTGTTTATTAATTACTAAGCTGGCTTTTCTCTCCTTCCCAGTTATATTATTATTGTTATTATTATTATGGTTATTATGGTTGTTATTATTATGGTTATTAGTGTGTTTATTAATTAATAAGCGGACTTTTCTCTCATTCCCAGTTAAAATATGCTTATTATTATTGTTAGGGTCGCGGGGAGTCTTCCTTACCTGCCCGATTTCGTGATCACCATCTCGGTGCCCAGTTTGTGGAATTCGTCCCATAGGTCTTTGGCTTCCAGCGTGACTTTGGGATCGTCTTCCACCTCTTCTTCCGGCTCCAAGCTTTTCAGAGAACGCAGATGGGCGGCCTGGTGATGATGCCCGAGAGCCGAGACGTGCAAGCCGGCCTCGGCGGCGGCTCCAGCCAAACTGGGATCCGGCAAGGGCTTGGTGAGGGCGGCGGGAGGCAGAGCCAGCGCCGGGAAGAAGGAAGGCTGAGCGGCCGCTAAGAAGGCGGACATGGGGAAATCGGCTGGCCTGGGCGCGTGGAAGGGGTGGTAAGCCATCGCAGCCCCCGAGAACGCTGGGTCTCTCATCGGGACATCCACAAAGCCAGGCGGGAAGAGCGAGGCCCCCCAGGCAGAGAGGGCTAGCGGCGGGAAGGAGGAAGCCGGCGGCGGCCCGCTGAATTTCAGCCCGGCTTGCTTGGCGCTCAGCGGCGGAGCTCTAGTCAGTTTCAAGCCGCCGGCACTTTCAGCCAGGCTGCCGCCTTCGTGTCCCTTCAGGGCTTGGCGAAGAGGGAAGGGGGAAGAGGGGAGCACCGCAGAAAACGTGCGGGGGAGCCCAGGCCCCCGCCACAACCCCCGGCGACCCCGCGACTTGAAGCCTCGGGACAGGCTGCGGGGCGCCTGGAGGGGCTGCTTCGCCGCCACGAACGGGAGGGGAGGCCCGGGGAAAGGGACCCCCCTCTTTCCTGAGATCGACAAACAAGCAAATCAAGAAGATCCGAAGCCCCCCCACCCACCCTCCTCCGGCGAGGGCGATTCCTCACGCCTCCGGATCTTGCGGCTTTTTCGGGGTTTTCTTTTAAAAAAAAACAAACGCCTCTCCAGACGAGCTTGCAAACTTCGGAGGTTGCTTCGGGAGGGGGGCA